CCTTCCCTTGACTATTATCCGTGATGCTATTATCCCTGATGTCTCTTGTTGCTGTCAAGCGTTGTGTCGTCTTTTCAGGGGAGATGCGCGAGCTTATTTTGAGGAGACCACAACAACAGGAGGATTCTACAAATATTCGAAATCAGTTGCTTAGTGATGAGGTGTGTCAATTTTAACGCTCCTGCGGCTATCTAAGTCGCTGCTGCTGCAGTTTAGATTCTGTTGCTATTCATGCACATTAACTGACTGCTCATCTGCCCTTCAGGTTTCTGAAGAGAGTGATGACTCCGAACCAGACGAGTCGTCAACAGCAAAAGCTTCAGGGGCTCCATCACAGGCTCTTACTCATCAAGACTTGGGGAGATTGCTGCAGCAAATCGCAGAGATTGCAACGTCTCAGCAAGCGAGGCGGCAAAAGCATCTCCTACAGCAGCAGCAGCTTGCAATTGCAAGGGCTGTTGAGAAAGCAAACAGGCTGCTACTGTTAATGGTGCAACTGCAGCGGGCCCCGAAGCAAATCCCGCAAAGGACATTCGATAGGATGAAGTATCTCTTGGCAGGGTGTTTTTTCGGTTCTTTCCCCCCTATTTCTGGGGAAAATCAGGAGCAATCAGCAGCAAGGAGGTGCGTGTTGCAAAGAGGAAGCATAGGGAGGCTGAGGAAGCTCTTAGTGCTGCTGCTGCAATGTGTTGCTGCGATCACGCAGCAGCAGCAGACCTCAGATGCAACTGAGATGCTCTTGCTACAGCACAAACTACTGATGCAGCACAAGATCCTCCAGCAACAAAAAGTCCTTCGATATGCCCTCAGAGGGCTGGAAAGGGAACAGCAAAATACCCCAGCCCCGTGCCTTGCAGAAAACCCAGAGGAGTTGGAAGAGAGGCAGCCGGACCAGCTGGAAGGCCAGCAAAAAACACAGCAGCAACCTCAGCCTGAGGATCATCAGGATGTCCGCAGGCTGGAGGCCCTTCCTTATAAAAAAAGCAGCTATCGGGGTACATCAGCTATGCGGCTTCGAAAGCGTCGAGGGCCGTCTTTGGGTGAGCTCGTTGACCCTTTCCGCTGGAGCACATTCATCGCTGCTCGGGTGCCAGCAAATCATACTTTATTGCTAGCCATTAGTACGTTGCGATTAATATTTGTTCAGCATCTTCGCCTCCAGTTGCCACTCCCCAGATAGACACTCCCGAAAACCAACAAAAGCGGTGGCCCAGAGCAGCGCCAGCGGCAGCTGACGTTGCTTGTAACGATACTGCCGCGCCCCATGCTCCTGCTGCTCTGCCAAGTGGAATCTCAGCTGCACGGAAGGTTGCCAACCCGACTACTACTGCCACAGCTGCCGAAGGCACCTACAGCCCTTCTTCACAGCGCAAACAGAAGAGGAGACGGTACCCTTTGAGGCATTAGGCGCAAATGCAAGGTAAACTGGGGAATTACAGACTACAGGGCATTGCGGTACCACTGAATGCTCCAGAGGACATGTTTTATCTTGGAACACTGTTTAGTTCTGTCCTACAATTGTCTTTTCATGCAATCCTTAGGGCTTTTTGCACCGTTGCTAGCCGTGCATCAGGCACTGCTAACCGTGCAGTTGGTGCTGCTACTGTCTTGTAGTATCTCGGCGCCACGCAAAGCTCTCACGAAGGTCCAAAATTCAGTCAGATGAAGAGCTACAGAGGGGGAGTCTCTTTCAACGAGGAGACTAGCGAAAGGCAATTTTTTCCGCGACCCCTAGACAGGCTTCGCCTGGGCGGCAACTGAAACTTTCGCATCTCCTTCCTGCGGCGCCCGCCAGAAATTTATCACACTGTAAAGCGGAACACAGACGCACGCCTTCGCAACACCGAGAACCTTCGCTAGAAGGCTCTCAAGGCGACATCGGAGTTGACTAATGGAGCACTAGTAAGCAAATAGCGTGGTCATGTCACCTAAAACAAGCAGGTGCTGCAGCAATAAGGCTCAGCGGCTCGGCTAGTGGCGCGCAGCCGAAGGTAGAACGCGCTGTCCTCAGTCACGAGGGAAGAGGCTGTGACTATGGGTAACGTTGCTGAAAACTATCTTAATGAGTCTTCCAGTATTCGCGCGTCGTACCCGACACTAGTTGTTTAGCCTCAAGTCAGTGAAACGTGGGGCTGCTTCATGTAGCGTCCTTAAGTGAATGTGTGAACAAGGCTGTTGCTCGGGGCTCAACGTCCTGCCGCTACACGGAAGATGCCCGAACCTTTCAGACTGCGACTCGTGAAGGACGTAGAAATATGCTTGCCTGCGAGGGATAGGAGGAGGGGCAGGAAATGATGAAAGTGCGAGGTACCATAGAGCTCCGGACATGCCACCCCTGGATTCACAACAACTGAATACACTTCCTCGAAAAGCGCACTCCTTCCAGGTACCGAGCCCAACGGATCATCAAACATCTTTTAATAGCAAAAGGGTCAAGGCAGTAAGCGAAGCTTGGCACGTCCCGGCGCGGTTCAGCAATCAGCCTTTCCAGTGCGCTGAAAGGAATTTCACTTCAAAGCACCTGCTACCAAAGGTACAGTGGAACCCCAAAGGGGCATTGTGTGAGCGGCATAGCGCGTTGAGACAGCTTTCATGGAGATAGCTTTCATCTACAGAGAGGACACCTCTGGACACCTCTGGGCTTCTGACCTCGGTCGTTCCTGCAGATTTGTCTGTTCGTTCCCCCGCCGTCAGTGTTGCTTTTCCAGTGTTTTTTGCAAATTATAATTGTCCCTTTGACCATATTCATAGGCTTCCTTCACACGTGTATGGGACCCGCGATCTATCGATACATCGATGTATCCATCGATACATCGATACGGCCAAAAACAAACAGAAGGTGAAATGACGTGAATGAGCATACATATAATACATTCAGTTTTCTGGAGGCCGCTTCTAGTTAACTGAAAAAAACATCAGGGGATTCTGCCTGCCACACCGTTGTTGTAGAAACTCAGCATACATATAATACATTCAGTTTTCTGGAGGCCCCTTCTAGTCAACTGGAAAAAACATCAGGGGATTCTGCCTGCCACACCTTTGTTGTAGGAACTCAGCGCAAATGGTTACGTATATCACTTTCTGCCTCTATATCCCATTCCTTCGGTTACACATAGATTGTGGGTCACAAGGTTGTGGTAGACAGAAATACACAGAGGTCTTGCTCCCGTAAAAGTTTGCAACGTTCTACAATTGTGCCACAATGATACCAGCCCCCCATGCTGGGAAAAGCAACTGTATTGAAATCGAAAAAGCCAAGTCTTACCGGCTCGTGATTTGGCGAGTTAGCTGTGCTGTTGTCGTCGCTCATTCTTTCATAGACATGCGATCCCTGATACTCCAAGCCGAGACCACGATGCTAAACTAATGCAGCCTACTTCATCAGACCGGAGAGCGCCCTTGAGCGCTCTGGGCATGACTTCAGAATTTCTCAGTGATAGCTCCGTCCTGGCCATTCTGCGAACATGTGAGGCCCACTACGAGTAGGCTACGCGCGCCATGCTGATACTGTTACATCTATCTTTCTCCTTAGTCCTTTTCCAAAAGTGCCCGTTGTGCTGCGAGCTTCCAGACTCGTCTTTTCAGATGTAGGAGGGCTACAAACTCTCTGCCATACAGATTTGGCGAGCCAGGCAAGCCTACATTTGAAGTGTTTGGGAGTAGATGGAAAAGGCAAGAAAACTGGCCTCTTGTGATGACTACGTCTGTCTCCATATATTCCACAAAGCACACAGTTTAATTGCAGGTCAAGCCGCCTGATAGCCACCTACATGAAACTACAAGGAGCAGCTGCGTCAACGAACGCGGGCGTGGTCTGGACCTCTGAAAGTGATGCCTCTCAAAATTTACTGCCACTGAGAGTTTCGGCTAAGTACTGGTGGAGGGCTGTCAAGGGTCACCGAGCGGCGGCGGCAATTATTCGAAAAGAACGGGGAGCTCATTGTTCCCGGGTTTCTTATACTGCGAGTGGGTTTGAGTGGAAGCGCAATGCAAATTCGGTGGCGGCGAAACAACCGTTGAAGACAGGGGCCTGTTGGCAGCTTGCAGGAATTCCTTGGGGATACTTCAACAGACGTGTAGTACAAACGAAGTACAGACCAGCCAGAAAAAGATATTATTTGCGTGTGTTTATTCAAGTTAAGATGCTCTAAGATGCTCTATGCTACAGGTACAGGAAGGGAGGGTACAAGTAGAACTGCTGTCTGGTGAGGGGCTTGACCGTCGGTTGGCGAGCAGCTGCGTGTAGCAAGTAACTATTACAAATTCAATCAAAAAGTGGCTATTCGCGAAACGTCACAGTCAATTTCAGAAGTCCCGTACAAACATATGGTGAAAGTATCGCTACCTGATGACGAATGCATCACAACGTCACAACAACGGTGTTTCCCACATAGTTGTTGGTGGTGTCGACTCATCGATCTTCTCCAATTCTTACCTTAGATCCGAAAAATTAATGAAAAGGAAGTAGCGAGACATCAAATACAAGTGCAGAAGGACAAGTGCTCACTGCAACTCAGTAGAAACAACCCAACTTGGACCCCTCGACAGCCCAAACCAGCCACTTTTGGAGATGAGCATCACCGCTCATCTGGCGATCAACACCTTGTAGGTCCTGTAACTATTATATTATGAAGCTCGTTTTGTCCTTGAAGTAAGTACAGATCTGCGATTGGCTCTCTAGCCCATTCCCATGTGATCATATCTCTTAGGCCTCCCCTCTGTTCCTGCAGTTCACATTGGGACAAAGAAGGGAACGCCAGAAAGTAAAGAGCTTGGCTGTAATGAATGTGCAAAAGGCGAGGTTTTGAGCCTAGGTGCTCCTGTCTATGGCTGGTGTCTATCGTCCTTTACGTCGTAATGCCACCATGATGACTGTACTCCATATCTGGCTGCCGAGGAGACATGGGGCGCATTGGCTTTCCGTCTTCATAGGTCTGCTGCTACTCGCCGCACTACCGTCCAGCGCGCTTTCATTTGTAGAGGCATGTAGACATCTCAGTATGCCCGCGTTTCTCGGTCATAGGGTTGGATTTCACCACGTTACAGGGGGCCGGGCCTCCAACATTGCCGTCAGCTCCATTCCCTCCTTCTTCGGGCGATTCAGGAGGATGCAAGCAGCATGTGAACAGCAGACTCAGAAAGAGCAGGAGCGACGGCCAAGGGTTGATATCTATCGGCTACTTGGGGTTCCACACAATGCTCCTGCAGATGCAATTGCCTCTCGAGCTAAGGAATTGGAAGGACAGCTGACGCGGCATGCAGATACAACTACAGTAGATCCGCTTCTTCTGTCGCTTTTTAATGAAGTCGTTGCCACACTGAAGGCCCCCGATCTGCGTAGTGCTTACGATGAAAACGGCATTCTCCCGGAGTCTCTCAGCGCCCTGCTCCAGCAGCTGCTGCCTGCCCTATCCTATCCGCACAGCTCAGATAGCACGGAGCAGGGAATAACAGCAAAAGAGTATGTTGAAAATAGAGAACCAGTACGCAGGAGGAGAGGCCCCGCGGAGTTATTTTCCTCCTTACTGGGTCGGGATTTCTTCGGCAAGAGCAGCCCGTTTGCTGCTGCTGCTGCTGCGGGACGCCGGCACACGCAGGGGTCACAGCAGGGCCTAGACGTTGAGGCTCACGTCACCCTCAGTTTTGTAGACGCGGCGTTAAACGGAGCTTGCTCTTTGCCTGTTATAGTACGTCGGCAAGAGACATGCACAGCTTGTGCAGGACCAAGCACCCGAAGAACGTCACCGTGTCCAGTCTGTGAAGGCCAAGGGATGCAAACGGAAGTGAGATGAGATTATATTGTTGTTTTCCGGGCCTTGGTGATGGCGTCTGCCTCCAGCCAAATGCCTATTCTGTATCGCATAGGCAATGGCGAGCCAGCACTTCTGAGTGTACGCTTTGTGTGTAGTGTCCACGATCAGGAGCTTAGCCTCTATAATATTTGTAACCAGTACAGTAGTGCTGCAGCTCATTAAACATCGGCTGTCCATAAGCAGGTTTGAGAATGCCTTGATTGTGCGTTTGTTTACATCTGAAGGGCAGCGGGTGTGGGGCGTCTATGCTTTTCTAGGAACCGAGCAAATAGAGGGACAAGTAGTTGTGTCCATACATTTCTCTACAGTTTTATGCGCGTATTTGCGTGCATACGTGCTGTAATGCGAGCTTGCACGTTGAGAAAAGCGCATCCACAAGCTAAAGTGAAGCCAGGACTGTGCCATTGGCTAGCTGTGTGTAGTTCGTGCTTACGTGAGTTGTTGAGTATACACAGTGCGCGTGATGATACTGAAGAAGCGAAGGGAACTGTGACAGAATGCCGGCTCCACAAATTTCTCACTGTTGCATTGCTGGTGCCAGAGCGATCAGCAAGCTTCTTATTGTTGCCTTTGCTGGTGCTAGAGTCCTGAGCCTCTCACCCGGGCTTGTGCAACGTCCTTCCTTTTCAGACGAGGCGCTCTTCTTTTGGTTTCGTGACGACGTCCGTCACCTGCTCCGCGTGCAATGCGACGGGAATTTCTCAGGGCCCTCTGTGCAAGTCTTGTGAGGGAGAAGGGCTAATAAGCAAGGATGTTCATTTAAAGGTAATGATGCACGCTGCTGCTACTTATGGCAAATATGGTGATAATTTTTATTGTTAGGTTTCTTGCGGCGTTCGGGCTGCTCTAGTTACGAACAATGCTGCTGCTGCTGCCGCCAATGCTGGCGACGGCGTTGCCTCTGTGGGTTGCGTTGCCGTCTTTTGTGGTTGTAATTCTGTTTTAGTTGCTTTCTCCGTTGTCAATTTTCGCAACTGATGTTAATGACACTCGTGTTGCCGAAGCTGCTGCTCGTTAAGCGCTTCTCGCTGTTCCTAGCCATTTTGCAACTCCTACTTCGGGGGATTTTGGCGTTATTCTGGACTTGGCAGCGCTGCTCCTCTTGGCATTATTTTGCTTTTGCTGGTAGTGCCTTCGGTAGTGCGGTTCTGTTGCTGCTGGCGTTTGTGTCTCTGTTGGTTCAGTTTGTGCTTGATGTTTTGAGTGCGATGCCCTAATTCCTCTCGAGTTCAGGAGTAGCGTGTGCTTTGATTCGTTCATTGCCAATTCCATTATTTCCGTAGCAGGAATCAGCCTGTGGCATACTTACAGGTCAACATTCCTGCTGGTGTCTTGGAGGGATCGTTATTGCGCGTTGAAGGCGAAGGAAGTGAAGGCAGAAATGGGGAAGCCCGAGGTGATCTGTAAGCTTGCCCAGGAACGAGAGCATATCAACATGCCGTAGTGATCATTTACGTGCGCGCTGCAGATAGGCGCATTTACCAGATGGCAGCATATTGTATAAGTGCAACCTCTGCTGCTTTTAAAGTGGGTGAATATTTGTGTCAGCGGGACACACAGTTGTGGAGTCGTGCGGGCAGTAGCCTGGTCTGACGGCAATGCTCTTTCACAATGACTTGCGAGTTGCCGCGGTTGCGATTGCTCCATTAGGTATATATCGATAGGTGTTGAGAGCCACGATCGGCTGACTAGGGAAGGTGCAGATGTGTGCAGCGAGGAATCGATATCCCTGGAAGATGCAGTGTATGGATGCAGCATCGTGAGCCGAACCGATTACTGATGCTATTCTCACTCCGTGTCTAGCTTTTCCCCCAAGTGCAGCCTGTCCTTGGGTGCTGCCCCATTTATAATCATAATTTTTGTATTTGCTGCGATAGACCGTGCATACGGTGGACGGCGATGTGGAGTTGAAGATACCAGCCCTTTCTCGCTCTGGCCGGAAGTTTCTCATTAAAGGAAGAGGCGCCAAAAAGATTGATGACCCTTCTGGGGCAAGAGGGGATCATGTTGTCACTTTGAGAGTAAGCCTGCCTGTAGTCAGACTGATTATAGGCACAGAACAATTGCACATCAGAGAAGAAACATGAGGTTGTGCAAGCCTCCTTTTTTGTGGAACCTTTTTCAGACTTCTTCCGCTTGTATCTCCCGTTGTGCCTTCTGTTGCCTAAAGCTTCGACTCTTCCCGTAGCAGTCTTTTAGTGGCATTTCCTTACTGTCTCTATGTATGCCGTCTTGTGTATAACTTTTTCCTCAGTGCTAATATACTTTTGCCGTGTCCTGTTCGCCGAGGCCATGCGCACTACAGTGTTGTGCCTTTACCAGCAATATATTCGGCATTGGAATCGTCCAATGTTGTGCAGGTGGCTCTGCCAGAGACAGCTACGGCCAAAGATCGCGAGCTGCTAAAAAGTCTACGAGAAGCAGAAGATGTAGGAGAATAATATCGGGGTCAGTGCAGCGTAAAAAGTACAGCACGATTGGTGCAGAGGACAGCGGAACGATGGAGACAGGGCACGCAGGCGTTTGTTATCAAATGCATGCAGCTTGGTGTACGGCTTCTCTGTAGCTTCTAAGAATAGGCGAGTGCGCCTCATACAACTTATATATAGGAAACGCGACGTAGTAAAATCTTTTTTATCCGCTTATTGTTTTGAGAGGCATACACTAATGCGACTGGGAGCATGGACTAACGTGGCATGCCAGCCCAGTGGGACAGAAGGTTACATTTATCTCAGATTTCCTCATAAATGCAACGCACGAATTCTGGTACCTTCGCTGGCGTTGCAACATTGGCAACGACAGCAACAAAGCAGTGGCTGTGTTGACGGGAACTTGAGAATTGATGAATGCACCTAAACCATCATCGGCACTGCAAAGCAGATATCAGGAGTCAAGCAGATCTCAAGCTCTAGTGTTCCACAAAGCGCTCGCAAAAACGCAGACATGCTCGGGCCTCGGGAGCTCCCTATATTTGCCGTCAACTTTGCTGCCTGCAGCCAGCAAACAGAATAACATCTGAAAAGGAGAACTATTGAGGTGCGTTCGCCTTCAAAGCATTGTATCAAATGTTGCAGGTAGGAACGGATCTTGCCATTCGTGGACAAGCGTGCTCAATATTTGATATGAAGGAATTCGCTTGGTAATCGCGACGACTGTAAGAGAGCTCGATGCAGCTTGATTTTTTAAAGCCGTGAGCCTATAACTCAGATTGCGCGAGCATGAGGGCGCGGCACAGCAGTCTTAGCTCTTTGCGCGCTTACAATGGATGGGCTGCGGATGGTGGTTCCGAAGACAGCAACCGTTCCTTAATGAGAACGCCAGTAGGGCAGTCTAATTTGGAGGTGTAAAAGCGCATGGCGTTACCGCAGCACAGGTGCATTCTACTTGTGGTTACTTGTAAGCTACGAAAATCTTGAGAGCGTGGTGAAGTGCGTGGCACTGATACGGAAATAAACCATGCATAAATGCCTTGCTCCCTAAGCAATTTTAGGTGCCGTTCATTGCCTGTTGCGTTTGGACAGGTGTTCGTGCCGCATCTAGTGTGCCAATGAGACCATTTCGAAACTGGGGAATTGCCACCTGGATTGCCACCTGGTGACACTGTTAAAGCTACTGCCAGTGCTAGCGGAGAAAGGTTACAGACTTCTTTGTGCTCCTATGGGCTCTAATGGCCCGCATTTTCGCTGCATTAGAAAGGCTTTGACCAGATACGAGACGTGACAATGCACTGAACAGGCACATAAACTGTTGAGCCCTGTCATGTGAGTGCAAGATGCTGTTTAAGAAGAAATATAGTGCAAGAAGTTCGGACTTTTCTGGAGCCACCACTCCTCAACGGAGTCAAGCACATGCGAAGACACAGATACTTATGCAGCCAGCTGGAACAGAACCAGCTGCAGACGCTTCCGCGTTTGTTCTTGCCTTGTCGCTTCGTCAAGAAGAGCGTAGACGGACAGGCGCCACAACGGACACAAACAAATGAACATTTAGCACATGCGTAGGCACGCAGCTCTGTAGCTTATCAACAAATCCATGTTAGCAGGCGAGATTAGAGGAGAACTCCCACAACTGCATCATGCAGATGAACTACAGGCATGCACTCTTGGTGCTGTGGACACCGTAAGTGTAAACTTAAGAGTCGCTAGACATAAGCCTAGATAGGCCGTGACCACACTGAAGTTCCGGACACCTTCAAATTTGCACAGGCCGTTCCAGCGAGGCGACCCTCTAGCACTTGGCTGGCAGCATCAATCACCTTGTCGTCAAATCCTCTCGCCAAACGCGAAATGTAAACGACAGCCAGCTATGGAAGGTATAATGGGCACAATCTTTGCTGCAGAGAATTGCTTCGTCTATGGAATCTCCAGTGCAGCCCACAAACGAACGATGTGGAGTTGTGGTGACCTGTCTGAGGTGGAATGAAATGGCAAAATTTCACGGGAAGACGACCAAGCAGCCGCCTACGCTAGCATAACCTATCATGGCCACCTCCTAACAACATTATTAGCCAAACATAATAGAAGGTACACCCTACAGAGCGACTACAGGCCGCGATGTACTTTCCGCCAGTCGCGCCGCAAGAGATTCGAGCGTACATGCAAGCACGTCAACACCCTGACAAACACCAAGGAAGGCATCAGAAAAGGGAAGTCAGTAAGAGCATATGTTCCACTTGTAAGCAAGGGATGCAAGCATACACGGCTTGCCAGTGGAAGCCTGACACCACTGCTTTTATTCCCGCTCACCTTTTCGACTTGCCTAATTCCCAGTCGCTCGTTTGGTAGGTGGGCATTGTCGCTGGCCTGCCCAAATGGCAACTGACAAACTGCAACTTCATCTGAGCCCTGGCATTGGCCGAGGGGCCCAGGAAGCCTCCGAAAGGCGTCGGCAAGAAATGGAATTGCTGGCATGGAGCCCCCTTCTCGTACGTAGAGTGGCTCAACACCCCAAACCTGTTAAAACAAAAATGCTCGTGGCGTTTAAGCCACGAGTTCTTCATGACCGCTGGTAAATAGGATACACGGTGGCTGCAGAAAGGTACGACGCAGCCGCAGCCAGTGCGACACTCATATGTGCTAAGCTGCCAACCGTAGCCTTGTTGCTCACCTCTTTGATAGCTGCGTGTGCTGCCCCGTACAATGCACGCGTTCTGGGCGCATTCAAATCTGCCCGCCAGGAGCGTCCTTGGCGGAGGCACTGAACTGCCAGTTTGCTCGCCGAAGATGCTTTTTTGAATGACTCTTGAAGGTAGTCACGAATTAGAGTGAATATTTCCTTGGGTCCCTGAGATGGCAAGGAATTGGGTTTTTTAGCTGTCATCCTTCGTAAAGACACTATTTGGGGAACGTTCACTGAATGCGGTCCCAATTGTGACAGCGGGAGTGTTAAAACTACCTGCTGGGGCACAAGGCGCAAACTGATTTCTGCGCAAACAGTTGAAGGGATGACGCGCATAGCTCCTCCAGCATGGGGGCATTTCCCCTTTAAAGACGCATCTATGCCGAGCAAAGACATTGACGGTTCCAGCCAGCTGAAGAAAAAGCAACAAGCGTTTTAAACCCAATGATATAACGAGATTGTGGTCGACGCATAACGCTAGGATACATCTGCCACATGCGGGTACCTACAACAGCAAGTAACGGCTCAGCCCTATCTCACAATAATTAGCGCGAGCAAGATGAGTCGCAGTCTCAGATTGGCTTCAGTGATTAGGTGTCACCTTTTTCGAAGAAGTTCGTTGGGGTCGCTAGTTCCGCCAGCAGATGCACGCTGTACCCACCCAGTCTTCACGGAATCGGCCGCAGCCTTGACGCGCTGTAACTGAGAGAGCAGCAGTACAAAGTGATATTGCTCGGTTCACTCCATTTGGCCACTGCAGTTCCCGTGACAATCAGCAGGCTCTTGACTTTCACGCTTTCCTGTAAAATTTAGCGAGCGTACAACTAGAAATGCGTGCTTTCTCGCTGCTTACCTCTGCGTAATCGGGGGGCTGAACAGCGTCATAGAAACGGGGAATTTTCACGCGGCCAGTTGAAGGGTCATACATCTGGCTCAATAATTGCACCAAGCTCTGCATCAGCATACAATGCAGTACCTCTATTTTTCTGGGAACAAGCAAATCCAAGTAAATAAAAGCACGTGGAAACAGAACACTTTTGTGGGGCCCTGTCAGTGGCGCCAAAACATACCTGCATTGGCTCCTCTACGGCACCCCCATGCACTCCTGAGTGATAGCCGCTGTCTTCGGCGCCACCAGTGGCCTCAACTCGAATGTCCAGCACCCCACGCATGCCGTAGCTACCATGAAAATATCAGCACATGCAGCCCCTGCTACTTATGTGAAGCTGTCCATGCCTATACATCCAGTCAGCAGATGACATGTGTGAACTCCGCTTACACAAGGCATGGAGTTACGTCATCAGCCCAATAACTGTTGTTGCAGATGAGGAATCGTGCTCCGTGAAGCCAGCTTGCCTTTTGCGCCACAGCATCAGCCAAGCCTGAGTGCACCCGATGCCACAAGAAAACATGCTTATAGGACTACGAGAAAGCGCTGTAACAAGTGAGCTACAGGCTTTCAAAAGGCAAGCCATGAGCCACTTGCTTGGAAGCTTTGCCGCACACTTTCCCACGCCGCAATTTTCAAAGCATGCAGCAGATCAAACTCGATACGTCCAGCAGCAAACAGCAGCTCTTCTAAGGTACTAAAGCGTCTTCAACAGCTGCCTGTGAAGAAGCACGTAGTTTTCCAACTGCCGAGGTAGGGATGGCTTACCAACGCTACCATTCTCCTCATCTCCCTCGCATATCCACACGAAGTTGAAGGGAATTGCAGGGTCGCTCTTAACTGGCGCGGGATTCTGCGAAGCTGAAGCTTTGCCAGAATCCAGGTGCTGAGAACACCGCTCGTATAATGCCTGACTTGCCTTGTATTTCCTCCTCCATTCCGATATAAAGTGCTTCACGGCCAGCAGGGAGCAGATAATGGGTCCCTTATTGTCAGTAACTCCTCTTCCGTATATATACCCATCTTTGCAATGGATCTTCCACGGATTCGTGTGCCATCCTGTGCCGTGCCACCCCGGAGAGTTGCTTCGAGCTCCCCGATGTTTTGCTATTTGAGCAACCGAATTAGAGCTACTTCGGGCTCCTTGTTGGTTGGACGGTGGGACAACTGTCCGCGTGCGTGTCCTTGGAGAAGCAGAAACAGTCACAGGCGAGGCTGAGCCTTCCGACACATCCGAAGAAGCCGGAACAGAAGAAGGGGAGGTACCGCCTGCTGATACAACGTCATAGTGAGAATAGAATACGATTGTGGGGTGGTGCGGATTTGTTCCAAGGCGGCCAAATACTACAGGATGCGGCTGTCCCTCCCACTGGTCGCCATGAAACTCTGACAAGACCGCTGACCGCTGAGGCCACACAATATCCACCGTTGCTC